AAGCAAAGAATTATGTGTTGTTCAGTAATAGTTGTAATAAAAGAGGGGACTGAGTTTTTCCCAAGAAAATTTGCTCTCTATTTGCTCCGTTCGTTCCTATGCGCCCTTATCAACGCGGTGGGGAAAAAGGAACTGAGGGAAAGATGGGAGGGTGGAGCTTGTGCTCCAGGGGAGGAGGTCTAACTGTCAAACTTTTTTCATAAGCTCCAAAAGGTTCCAAAATATCCTGCGCAGGCACAGAAAACCCACTTGTGTGTATTCACAGAAGCCACGATGAAGAATCACCACCCCAAGGAAATGCTGCAGCAACTTCCTCCCAAGGAGCATTGTATCAGGAAACAAAGGACTACAAGAAGATGAAATTTATTCAGGTGAGTAAAATGCAGGTGTTTGCATTATATCAGCCTGAAATTCTGAGAAATCTGCCTGGGAAACTTTCAAAGTTGGTGTGTGTAAAAACAAAAATATAGTAAAAATGGCACACTCCAGTTTGTGAACACAGAACACAGTTCACAAACTCCAGGAAATCATTAAAACTGCTCTTCAGATTAAGGATCATTACTTTTCTGTGCATACAGCAGTTAAATTTAAGCAACATTTATCATCCTTCATTTTCATTGCCAAATGATGGAAAAAATGTTAAAATCCTCTTGCATAGCTAGCTTCACGCACAACATAACTTTTGGAGGACCCAAGTAAATAAATTGCCATAGAAATTATCAGTTTTACTCTGAGTCACATACCTCAGTACCCACAGAGATTTCTTAAGACAATTTGTCTCCAAAAGTTATGCCATTTGTGTTACACCAGCATAGCTAGTCAAGAGGATTTAGGCCTATGTTTTGTTTCTGTTTCTTGCTTGTCTTATCTAAGACACAATTTCTCATGCAATTATTATAATCAGTTTCTAATGCTTTAGGTTGGAAATGGTATCAAATGTTCTGGTACAACTATATTTCTCCTTAGAGGCAATTTCACAAACAAATTAATTAATACGATTTTATGGACAAAATTATGAAATGAATAATAATTGTACTCTATGTACTTGATACACCTGTGGAAAATGTAATTAAAATTATAAAAGAGAAGCAAAATATTCAACAGCAATCTACATAATTGTAGATTATCTACATAATAATAGCTGCTCAGAGTGGTAGAATATACCAGATGGGCGGGATATAAATCGAACAAACAAATAAATAAATAAATAAATAAATAATTCTCAGCTAATTAGGAGTACACAGATCTTTAGGTACACTGGATGTAAATTTTCAGCACACAACTGTTACATATTAAAGATTATGGCTGACAATGGCAGGAAGCATATCTGACTACTTAATCCCCTCAAACACTAATGCATTCTGGATCAATGTGCAAGAGAAACATACCGTAATTCTCTTATTGACATTAACTCCAAAGTGCATGTTTTGGTCAACTTTCAGTTTCCACCAGATATTCACAATAATATTGATTTAGTTGTTTTCAAGTGAAGTTCCAATAATTTAATAATACTAGTTTCTACACTTTTTAGTGACAATTTCTTCCACCATCCATTATAATGAAAATAATGAACTGAAGCAGTAACAGGGAACCTTAACAGAATAAAGACCATATCTGATTTCTATCAGTTTCCTGACTGTATGAAGCATAATGGGTAGGGAGAAAATCAGACATCTAATGTCCTGCAACTCCCAAAAAGCTTAGCCCCTCCCAGATACTTCCTCCATCTTCATGAGGACTCATTACATCTGAAGTCTTCATTTCTCGGCTGTAAGTGATTAAAGTTTAATTACTATAATTAAAAACACTTGAGAAGAGTTTTTATTTTTATTTTTGCTAAAGCCAACAGAATTCTTCCTTAAGGAATTCCTGCAGACTTTTGCACATTGTAGTCCAAAAGATAAGTGCAAAGTACTGCACGTAGGAAATAGAAACCAAATACACAGTTACAAGACGAGGGATACATGGCTCAGCAATACTATGAGCGAGAAGAATCCTAGAGTTGATTATAAAACAACAGTGATTGCCTTATAAACTGATTATAAGCCAACAATGTGATGCAGCTACAAAAAAGGCAAATGCTATTTTAGGCTGCTTTAATAGAAGTATAGTCTCCAAATTACACAAGGTATTCGTTCCCTTCTATTCAGCACTGGTTAGGCCTCATCTTGAGTACTGTATCCAGTTCTGGACACTGTACTTCAAGAAGGATACTGACAAACTGGAACAAGTTCAGAGGAGGGAAACAAGGATGATCAGGGGACTGTCCTATGAGGAAAGACTGAAATAACTGGGCATGTTTAGCCTTGAGGAAAGGAGACTGAGGGGAGAATGATAGGACTTTTCAAATATTTGAAAGGCTGTCATACAGAGGTGAGGCAGGATCTGTTCTCAATCATATCAGAGTGCAGGACATGCAACAATGGGCTCAAGTTACAGGATGCTAGATTTTGATTGAATATCAGGAAAAATTTCCTAACTGGTAGAGCAGTATGACAATGGAACCAATTACCGAGAGAGGTGGTGAGTGCTCCAACAGAGTTCGTCATCCCCATAATTTATTGAAAGCTATAAACTCATGCAGGGAATCAAACCGTATTCCTCTCTTGCCATCACACCTTTTTACAATGTTGTGCCAAAGTTCTCTTGCTATAATATTGTATTTATTTACACCTGCTACGAAACATTCAAACACTGAATTAAATACTGCAATTGTAAGTTTTGCCCTTACATCAGTGGCACCAAGCAGGGAATCGGTCTCAATGCCCTTACAGGCCCCCTTACAACTTCATTATTCTATGATTCTATGAAAAGTCCCATGCCTGATGGCTGAAACTCTGGGCTAAGTCAATTGTAAGTTTTGCCCTTACATCAGTGGATAAATCACATGTCTACTGCAAGCTTGAAACTTAAACTACATTGGATGGTCCTTTGATAAACATTTGTGTTCTGCACAAGAAATACAATAGTGTTAACTGCTGCTGATGGCCCATATTATTCACAAATTTACTTGGTGTGGAGTTCTTTTAGCTCTGTATTGGTTTTTAGTAATGTATGAATACATTTTGAAGATGGCATCATGTGTCAAATACACATTCTCAAACATTGTACTTGCACTAATCTCAGGAATGTGTTCTATGACGTCACTGCATTTTGCAGTTAATCAGTGGCGGTAGTCAAAACCACAGAAACATGAGTAGCTCCAAATATTTTAGGTAGCAAATTCTTTCAAGCAAAATCATCATCTGTGCAGTATAAACAAGGTATGCTGATACTTTCCCTTCAGAAATTCCCCATGATTTACAACCTTCCACTTTGCTTACTGTTCTTGTGTAGCTGCCTTAAATGTTAACTTACAATGGTCCAGTTTGAAACCTTCTTTAGGGGGAATGTGGGGAATCAACCCGCTGATATGAGTGCAGATTACCTAAATTAGCTTCATTTGACCACTCAAGATGGCTAGAGAATTATTGTACTTTTTTCCCCTAGAAAAGAGGGTAATAAGATCTGGCAGTAGTCTTCATCCACAGTAGGTTCTAGTTGCCAAACACTTGGTTTTATAACAGATATTTTGTGTCAACCTGGCCAAAGCATTTATGAAATATGGGCTAGAATAAAAGACAGTACAACTATAGACAATCACAAATAGGAAAAAAAAAATAACTTTTTAACATTCACAATACAACTTTAATGTATAAACTGCAATGCTTTGCAGCTGTGACTATAATTCATATAAAAGTCTGCATTTGAAGTATTAGTCTTATATGACTATGGGAAAATATTATTATTGCAATGATACAAATTATACTGGATCAAAAAGTGATTCTGTATTCTTTTTAGCTCAGTGGTTCCAAGGGTTTTGAGTTTGAATTCACACTGTGCCTCCCATGAGAGATGACAGCTAGGATCAACCTGAGCATGTGGCTGATGGAGGTACAGCGGTACCTCGGTTTACGAAAGCCTCAGTTTATATAACTTTCAGTTTACGAACCGAAATCCATAAAAAATAATGCCCCAGTTTAGGCTTTCTTTCCCTTATTTTTTTCCCCATTCTATGAAAGGGTTTCCCCAGGACACATTGTGCCTGGAGGTTTCTAACATGGCCCCCATTCCTAGCTCAATCCGTGTATCAGTTTACGAAATTTCCGCATTACGTAACATCCTGGAAGACGTATTACTTTTGTAAACCGAGGTAAGCTTGTATATGCTCTTCCATCTGCACAAGCTTGAGCAAAATGCATAGTCCCAGCACACTACCAGAAGAATCTACTGGTAAACTATTTCTAAATAACTAAAAAATCTGGGAGGGTAATCATAATTAGTGACTGTAGCGGAACCCCCACGTCACACCTGTGCATCATGGGAAGCTCAAGGGCGGGAGCCTATGAGAGGACAGGAGGGGCGGAACCTAAAAGACAGTCAGTTAGAGAGGGGAGTTGGAAAAAAGTGGTTTTGGAGATAGGGAATTGAAGAGAGTCAGGAGATTGATTTGAGAAAATTTAGACAGAGATTGGAAAGAAGAACTAGATAGTTAATGAATAGTGTAAAACAAAGAAACCAACGTGAAATCAAATGATATTTAATGAAAGATCATAAACATCTGTGATTTTCTCCTGTGATTTGCATAATATTTATAATACCAACAAAGCTGTTGTATTGGCAGCATGTGTCTAAGAGCTATCTATTTGGTACTGAGGGAATAATAGCTGGTGGCAGTGTGAAGTGAGGAAACACATCCAGAGGGTAGACTTGTGTTTAAGGCAAAATAAACAAAGGACACAGGGTGTACGTCACACCCGTTAAATCTGGGACGGTAATCATAATTAGTGACCAATGTGACAGCACATAATAATATGAATACAATAACTTGAAAACATAGCATTTTAATATTTCATTCAAAATAGAATGCATTTCATGTCAATATCCACAGCAAATACTTTCTTACTCTGAAATTATTCTCAAGCAAAGAATATCAGATGACTTGAGGAATTCCTACTCACTGAAAGGTGTTGGCTCAGTAGGATCTGGAGGTGGAAAGTCCTCTGTGAAGTTGACGTTGCACATGTTGGTACTACAGCAACAGAAACGATACGTCCCATTTTGAATTGACAAAGGGGTGGATGTTACTATGCACTCCTCAGAGTGACACTCCTGAGGATCTCCAATATGGGACCAACATCCTTTTAAAAAAGTAGCATATGAAATGGCATTAAAACAGTGTCATGCATGTCTATGATAGTTAGTTCGCGTAACAAATACTTGTTTTCTTCCACATCTTGATACTGTCATCAGATATCTTCTCCTCACACAATCTGTTCTGCATTTTAAGATTGGACTGGGATATTCTGCTTTGGACCCCTTCCTTAACTGACATGTCTATTGGACTACAAGCAGTAGTTTTCCTTTTGTAACTGCAAGTCTCTTGAATTCCTCCCATATGAAAAATGCTACGATCTAAATTTCCTTTTAAATACACTGGCCAGAATTCTATTGCTGAGGTATGCATGTATAAGTTAAACTGCACTTACAACAGCTAACGATAGAGGGGCAGTTTTGTTATGAGGCATTCTCTCAACTGTGCAATAGGATTTTCCTGGATCAACCTTCCTCAACGTTCTCCTAATTCTTCAAGAAACCCACCCACTTTTGGAACAATTAGTTACTACTTTACTTTTTTTTTACTATCTTCTTGTTTTTTTCCCCTCACTTCGTAGGCTACAAATAGAAAAGCTCCAGATTCAGGACTGGATGTGGCCTATCTAGGTTCCCAGCCTCTTTTGCTATTACTTGGAATCTGGTTTTGATTTGCAGCCTAGGAAGGAAGTGCACTACAGCCCACCCCACTATACACATGCACCTTTGAATGGTCAGTTCAATTTTGCAAGAGTAACATTTGATTTCATTAACTTTGCTTTGGCCCCATCCTGTTCCCATAGACTTGCTCAGTGCTGGAACACAGCTCTCATGTAAACCGGAATTCCACTTTTAAAATGGAATTCAGACTTTATATCAAAAAAGGTTTTCCTCTGCTACTTTCAGCTATACTGTTATGCAGCTGGCACTATGCAAACTGTAACTAGTGGAAGTTCTAAGTGGTGCTAAACAAAGAACTAAGCAATAATAAATATTACTACTGATTTTGTTTGCTAGATTTTTCTCAGGCAATTGTTTTTCCATATGTAGCTATATTTGTGTATACATCAGTTGCTATCTTTACGGGGTACACTTCTTGACTTCACTTTTTCCTTCTAATAAATATCCCAGTATTTTCAGTGCCCAGACTTCTCATACTAAAAGTAGGCTAATGCAGTGCAACTCATGGCTGAAATGTAGGTCATGGGCCACAGGTAATACACACATGCCCTATGCTCATGTTTTCATCACTGTTACCAACTGCTATTTCCAATAGACAGTATGAATGTTTTGTTTTGCTTTTTGGCAACTTCTGCAATTTTATCTACTACTTAGCTGTTCTCTTAAGTTTAACATATTCCAAATATATTCCAATATATAAAAAATGTGTTCTTACATTCAAAGCTTCCTTAAATTATGCTTTTACATACTGATTTGGAATGAATTCAATGTTTCCTGTTTGCTTAGTTGAGAATAAGCATGCATTACACTTGACAATACTCAGTTGTAAAGCAGCCCATGGTAGTTCCAACCAGAGGTAGTGTTAAACTACAATTGACAACACTAGTTAGAAATAATTTACTAACTGCAGCTGGTTCTAACAGATCCAAACAGAGTTCTGAACTGGCAAGAAAAGTGGATGCGTACATGGAAACAGTAGAGAAGTAACACAACTGAGCAAATTCATCTCTGCATTCAGGCAGCCTTTAAGATGTAAGGCAAGTTACCTTGTTTCACAAGATGGATGTCTCCTTCTCGCATTTTCTCCCACAGACCATAGCAGGTATTGCCTTTCATGCATAGTACTGTGCCATTCTCTTGAGAAATTCGACTTTCACTAATCCCATGATCATTTTGGTATAAGTCCCTGAAAGCACATGTTATCTCTTCACTCTGGGCTGCTGTAAAAGAAAATAAAAGAAAATTCTCATTCCACATGTACGGTTATGGTCAAGATATAACTAAAGGGGTGGGGTTTTTGATTCGGGACTTTGAAAGGGAGACAGAACTCTCTGTTGTGGTCTTCTGTTAGACGTAAGCACAATCAATTTGTGTGCACATCAGAATACAGTACTTTCTTCAGCCATTTCTACTCTCTTTTCATGAACAGAGATACTCTGTACAGGCATAGCCTCTCTTCCTTTAGCACGATGCTAGTGAACACCACCATGTCATACTTATATTACACTTAACCAAAAAGACATCTCTGCAGAATCATTAGCAACAAAGTGATATTGACCAATATTGCTAAGAGAAATCAGTGCGGTAACACTTCAAGCATGGTATTCTGAGATATAACCTCTTCCTTCAACCACCTTGCCAGGGATCACCTAAACACAATAGATTTAACCAAAAGATCACTCTGCAGAGCCATTAGCTACAAACTGACATTGGCCAATACTGCTGAGATAAAGCATTTACAGTGGCCTGTAGCAACACTTCACACTTTGGTGGGTTTTTAAAAATAGTATTCATGAATGAGGATGCTTTAAAAATTCACTAAAGGAACCTGGATTAACAAAAATACATGCAGTCCCAGGGCACATTATTGATAAATCTTAGATCATCATCCTAATTAGCCTTCCCAGTGAGCTTACATTTCCCTTGAGCCAGAATTTTAGAAGTTCAAAATATCTTTAAGATCCTTGAAATTCAAAGGAATTTCTATCCATTTTTCTTTTTGATATATCCCACAAATTAGGCCACTACTCATTATAAGAACCCTACATAATGATTGAAATAGAAAAAAAATTCTTCCAAATAAAAGAACTGCTGGAAATTCATACAATAGTACATAGAATTTGAAATGGTTGTATCTGTCAAAGCAAAAAACTTTTTTGAAGTATTAAAAAAATTCATAGTTGGCTGTTCACTGAAAGCAGTGTTTTGTTAAAAGGTAGCTAATGTAGAATAAAACAGCAACTCACTAGAGTGATTAATTCACAAGCAACTGTTAGGCATGTACTGTACATTTTCTTTTCTCTTTTTTCTTTCAGAATTCCAAATTTTGGGATTCTCCATTCTGGGAGTTATAACTTTCAGACAAACACCTAAATTGTGCTCAACTGGAGTATGGCTGGGTTGGAGGGTCTCATGGTCCAGTACAGGCAATCTTGGGCCTCCTTTCCTGCGGGAAAAGAAAGCTGTTCCCAGTACTTGTTGGGAACAGCATCATTTTCCAATAAGAAATTAAATCCAAGCTTCACCTATCCTAAGCCATGAGGCTTTCCAGGGCAGCCTTCCTCTAGATGAGCACAATTTAGATGTCTGTCTAATAATCATCATCTTCATCATCATTGTCCAGCTGGAATAATAGACTGGACAACTGAGCAGGACCACTTGTAACCAATACAAGTATTTTACCCCTAAAAATTATATAACTGAATTCCAACCAAGACACTACGTCAAATTCAAGGTTACTTCCATCTGGTGCCTCGCTTAACAATGTTAATTGGTTAAAAAAAAACATTGCTATGGGAAAACATCACTAAGCGAAACACCATTTCCCATAGGAATACACTGAAAACTGGATAATCCGTTCCAATGGGAACGGATTACTGTCCTTAAGTGAAAATCGCCATAGGAAACATCGCTATGTGAAATGCAGTTCCCCCATCGGAATGCACTGAATAGGTTTCAATGCATTTCAATGGTTTTGACAGGTCTGTTTTCGCTATTTTTAAAGTGTCTTAAAATGTTCAAAAACTGTTTAAAATGCTTGGAATCGTTAGTGCACCTTGTAAAACCTTTGCAAACTTAATTTGGCTTTGTTCTGACTCTTCGTTAATTTTTGGTGAATTTTCCCCCCCTTGGAATGTATTGAATAGGTTTCAATGCATTTCAATGGTTTTGACAGGTCCATTTTCGCTATTTTTAAAGTGTCGTAAAATGTTCAAAAACTGTTTAAAATGCTTGAAATCGTTAGTGCACCTTGTAAAACCTTTGCTAACTAAATTTGGCTTTGTTCTGAGTCTTCGTTAATTTTTGGTGAATTTTTCCCCCCATTGGAATGCACTGAACTGACCAGATTATTATACTAAATTCATATACTTATCAGGTTGGTGGAAGTAATTTTATTCACACTTTCAATGAAAGGGACATTAAGAAATATTTTAATACAGTAATAAGAAAAATTATATGGTGCACATAATGGCACAGGACCTAATCCTGCTTCTGTTGCTATAGCTTTAGAAATGTAATGGAGAAAAAAAGCTTTATATGTATCATTAGTAAAAAACAAGGTTTCTGATTCTACTTTTAATCGTTAACAATATGCTAGCCATAGTTTCTGAATTCAGATATCTTATCAAACAATGGTTCCTTTAAGCACTGCTTGACTTGATGCAGTTGAACAAAACGCTGTTCACTTATTTAAAAGAATCAAGTGGGAACAAGGTAATTAAAAAGAGCTAGTTTCAGAGAAGTGCCCCTGTAATTTACTGCAATGTGAGGCTTCATTAATTTTGTGAAGAAATTAATATTAGTCCACGAAAATTCATAATGAAACAAATTTGCTAGTGTAAAAAGAACAATAAAATTCCTATCAAATTGTTCCAGGCCACTGCAAAGAAGATTCTCACACTACTCATGGACACTGTCCAATAGATAACAGAAATGATTAGACCAAACCTGTCTACATCTGTTGTATCTAAATCAGTTATACTTGGATTTTCCAGTATATAGCAGAAGAGTGTTACAAGCCCAATTTGATTATACCGTGGTAGTGTAATAGCAGGACTGTTACAACATACAGTATTGTAGTCTCTGAAAGCAGCACTTCAGGGCACACATGTCTAAAACCCCTCAGTTTATTAGTGCCACCTCTCTTTATCTTAATGACACAGCAACTATCAAGTTTATAAAGCAGAAGATTCATTCAGTACAGTTTCCTGTAAAGAAGAACAGCCTGTAATAAATCTGTAAACTATTTTTGTCATATAGCTCAATATCCTGTTCCATACCTTTTCAATTTCAGGACATGCACAGTCACACACAATGAAACAAAGCCATGTGCACCCCAAAATAATAAAAGGAACTATTTCAATCTGCCATGGTCAGCAACATTACTTCTGTTGCACAGGCAAGAGCTATACAATGGGACACTGGCCATAATCCCAATACAGTATTGTACATGTACTTAAACCATTATACAGAAGTAATATACTGTCTTGTTGAAGTACAGGTACACTGTACTAGGCAGCACTCAGAAATTCTCTTGATTACTAGTGTGACTTCCCCCATCACCACCCTTCACTTCAGGCATTCTTGAAGACAAAAGAGTTTGCATGTGTTGGTTTGAACAACAATTGTTAGTTGAGTGTACATAATTTTATTCTCAAGAACAGATGCTTTGTGCCTGGAATGTGCAGCTGTCTTGTATTTTCTGATTCGAGGCATGGGACTGCCAAAGAAATAAAGAGGGGATTTTTTTTATCTTTAGTGACATGGGACAATTCAGTTTTATTCTATACTGAATTGTTTACTGCTGTAATTAAGGGGAGGATAAAGTAAATGTAAGCCTATTAGTGCAAGTGTTTTTGCGCCTTCATCTTTTCTAAGATTATACAGATAAGAAGAAAAAACGACACCTCAACGTAAGTGCTTTTCCAATTAACTTTATATTATTTGGTCTGTTTTTAGACGTCTCACTCAGAAATGTTCTGATCATCCACAACACAGCATGGAGAGCCCAAAACATGACTTTGCTTCTTCATGGAAACTGCTAGGCATCCTAGAAACAATTTCACTAGCAGCAGTCATACATTCTTCAGTCACCACCATGCCGAGACTGCTGCTTGAAAATTGTGGCTGTATCCATAGATGAATCAAGCCAAATACGGAGTTCTTTCACAAAAGCATTTCCTGCCTCCAACCAACCCCCAAATCTGCTTTAGAGTGTCTTCTCTGGAGGAAAGAATCTATGGTTCTGACAGAACAGCAGCTGGAAAATGGCTGGGCAAAACTAGAACATTTTATCCTTTAGGATTATAAATTAAAAATGGCAATATGGTAGCAAATATGCTTAGTTCTTTCAGCATTTTCTCATTATCAGTTTTTTAAAATTCATAATTTTAATAGCTAATTTCTAGAAGATCGACAACCTTCTTGAATTTTTGTGACCAAAAGTGAACACAAGCTTAGTTCCTTACTACAGTGAAACACAGCATCGCCCTTACTTCCTGAATCTTGGAAACAACATTTCCGTTAATACAAACTAAAATAGGATTTGTCCCTTGGTCAAAAGTTCACATTCTTGATTTATGCTTAGTTTCTCCTACATAACAGCACAAGAATAAATAAGAAAAGCATCTGTGTGGATTCATGCAGGTCTTTTTACTCTTCTGCAAACAATCTTTGTTTCTGGCACTGAATATTTACACTAGTCTTTGCTTGCCAGTTCATTCAGATGTGTTTTTATCTGTCAGCCTATTCTTTATAAACCATTGTGCTGAATGGCGTAAGACTTTGTGGAACAACAGCTTTTCGAAATTTGTAACATTTCCTTCACAGTCCAATCTGGAAACTTCGATAGATCAATTTCCAACAAATCCTACAATACTCTTTTATCTAATCATTACAGATAGTCACTGTGTGCCACTCCCTCCCACCACTGGTTTTCCAGTTTTACCATCCCACTTGATCACCAGGTTAAACATTTCTTTTGCATTTCTGAGTCTATGGCAAACCATAATGTAGAAACTCACTTTTCTTTTTGAGAAATACCATTCCTTTTTTTTACCACTCCAGAAGGGGAAATGATCCCCTTTCAGAAAACCCTGAGCCTTGACTAGTCATTGGGTGATTACCAGTAAAACCAGCGAATATAATTTGTGCATCACTTCCTAGCTACACCTCTGCCCCTTTCTAAGCAGTAAACCCTGCTTACTGAACTGATAAAAGC